AAAAAAAAAAAAAATCTCCCATAGAAAGGATAAAAGGTATGATCCATGATATGTGAAAATTGTACATATATAAAAAACACTGCCTGAAGTTGCATTGTGGCTCAGTAGAGCTTTTGTCTTGAACTGAAGAGCTCAGGGACAGTGCCCAGGCCCAGAGTTCAAGCCCTACAACCAACCAAAAACAAAAAAGAAAACACTGCCAAGCTGGCACCAGTAGCTCAACTCAAGCCTGTAATCCTAGCTTACTCAAGAGGCTGAGATCTGAGGATCATGGTTCAAAAGCCAAATAGGAAAGTCTGTGAGACTCATCTCCAATTAACCACCAGAAAAACAGAAGTGGTGCTATGGAGCTCAAAGTGGCAGAGTACTATCCTTGATGAGAAAAAAACCCAGCTCTACCACTGTGACAATACCCAGGCCCCCTGATTCCTCCCCTCCCCCGCTCCTGGGTGGGGGGGGAAAGGAAGGTAAAAAATCTATCATTTCAAAGTAGAGATATGCAACTTGAGAACTTCAAGTCATTCATCCATCTAGATCTACTTTAAATTTCCATTTTTCCCCCCTGAACAGAACCTCAATGTATAAAACTGATAGAATAAAAACTGATTTACCTTATGCAGGAGCTCCTTAACCACTGATCTTACTTTCAGGACAATTTCAAAGTAAAGTGCGATTTAATCCCATCAATTTACGAAAGAGAAAGTTACTATTCAAATGATCACAAATTATGATCAACAATTAGCCAGTTTTCCTCAGATCCAATTAGTGGTGGTCAGATTAACTACATAAACACTACATCTCTTTCATTATTGAACAAAAATGTGTCACTTACTGACTGCCTTGTAAATGTGAGTTTACCAAGCACACCTGTACCCCCAATTACTCCCTTAATACAATCTTGAAGGAAAATAGTTTTTTAAATTGTTTGATTAAGGTAACAATGTTAATTATAATGTTTTATTTGAAACCACTTTGGGAAACATAAGATTATTTGTTTTCCCCATCCCTATAAAAATGACTAAAGGGGCTTACCTAAACCAAAAGGATTGCTGGTAGCAGAACCAGATGTGGGGTTACTATTAGGAGTTGAATTGGTAGCATTGCTTCCAGTGGTGTTTGTTTGCTGTGCTGAATGGTCTTGAGACCTAAGGAAAATTCAATCACAATGTAAGCAGTGGAGATAATTATTTTTAAAAGAATCTATAAATACAATAACCAGAAGTAAAGGCTGAGCAATCAAATTTAACTCAAATTATTATAAATACCCTGAGATTACAAACAATAGAAACATAGCAAAAACTTCAGAAATCTGAAACAAACTGCTACTGTCCCTTCTTGAGTAAAGTACACATATAAATATTTCATTCCTTTCAATTATACTGATTAAATAAAAATGAGAGGTTAAGTCACCTCAGAGAAAACTGTCAATGGCCACCCCCACAACTACAAAGCCTGACTAAACAACTTTTTTAACCTAGCCCCTTCTAGTTCTGTAGGACATGTCTTCATAATTGCTTGATGGCCAACTTAAAATGCCTACACACATGTGCTCCTTACACTGCTGGCCACAGATGTTGAGTTTGCCTTAGTAAACCACATCATTAATTGGCACTCAAAGAAGTTATCACCCAGATACCAGTAGCTCATGCGTACAATCGTAAGGCTAAGATCTGAGGATCACAGGTTCAAAACCAGACTCTTATCTGCAACTAACCACCAAAAAGCTGGGACGTAGAAGTGTGTAGCTCAAGTGGCAGAGTGTATGTCTTGAGCAAAAAAAGCAAAGGAACAGCACCTTGCACTGGGTTTGATTCCCTAGCACTATTACAGTGTAGGAATTAACATGGTATCATACTAGGTTTTTTTTTTTTAAGAAACATGTTAACAACAACAACAAAAAGGAATTAATGACAGAAAAAGCCATTTTAAAGCCAAGATTACTTTTTATGTGTAGTGGGTCTAGGACTCACTTTCTGCTCTCACTTGGCTTTTTTCTCGTAAGGCTGGCACTTTACCACTTGAGCTACACCTCCTCTTCCAAGACTAGTTATTTCAAAAGGAAAAAATAGAAACATTACAGTTTAAAGCTTTATGTCACCTAAAAACATACCTGTTTTGAGTTTTGATGACAAGGTGAACAGTAAGCCCATCATGAATTCCATGCTGGCTCAAAGTATCCTGATCTTTTAAAATTTTTCCAGCAAATATCAATACAAGTTGTTCAGTATGTGATTTGAAACGTTTAGAAATTTCTTCTTTGAACTAAAGATAAAAATAAATAGGTATTACAGGTGTGTTTGCATAGCACCATTCAAACTAGTTCCTCAAAGTACCACAAGGAAACTTTTACTACAAGTTACAATTCACAAAATATAAAGATTCATTCATTTCTATATATCTTTATTATGGTATATAATGATTATCACTTTATATCTAATGCAAAAGTCTTATTCTATAAGATTCTGTAATCAATCTGCTAAGACCCAAGAATTTACTGTTTTGAAATAGTCTCATTTTAAATGTCAGCAAGACCAAATTTAATTCAGACTAAAAACTAGCTCTAACCAAGTTTGCCTTATCTATTCCTCAGACTCCCACCTCCAATTTTGTTTTCTTTCTAATTTCATACATGTACCTTGTATTCTCAGTCTATTTATACTGCCTATCATATCCACTTATTTTATCAACACTTATTAACAGTACTATGGTGAAGCAAAGATAACCAGGAGAATTCATCTGGCATTTAATTACGCCTGTAATCCTAGCTAGGTTGAGATCTAGGGATTGTGGTTCAAAGCCAGCCTGAGGAGCAAAGTCTGAGACTCTTTAGCAAAAAAGCCAGAAGGAGTTGTAGCTCAAGTGATAGAGTGCAAAAGTTCAGAAACAGCACCAGTGCTGAGTTCAAGCCCTAGGACTGGCACAAAAAAAAAAATTCTTAAGTACACAAGGAATACTCAAGACAGATCATATTCTCAGTCACAGTATACAACTTGGAAACCTAAAATAATGGAATCATTTATTTCCTGATACTAAATCACATTAGAAATCAGCAACAGAAAAGTATCTGCCAAGTTCCCTAATTAAACAAAACACTTCTAAATAGTTCATGGGTCAACAAGTCTTACAAGCTAATTAGAAAATATTTTCAACTAGGCAAAAATGAAGATGAAATAAGAAGTTGCGATACACAGCTAAATCAATGACTATTAAGATATATAATACTAAAGGAGTGTATTTAAGGAAAAAGACCACATACTGACAACATAAGTTTCCACACATTTAAAAATCGGGGGAAAATAAAAGCCCAAGTGAAGAATAAAAAGCAGAGCTAGGATCATGGTTCTAGTGTAGAATGCATAACACATGTAAGGCCCTTATTCCAAACCCCAGTAAAGCCAGAAAATAAAAAATAGCACTACACAAAAAGATAACACTTCAATGGCCAAACAGTGGCTGATAACTATAATCTAAGCTCTCTGAGGGAAAACACTTGAGAGTTCTAGGCCAGCTTGGGCTACCTATAAGTCCCAGTCTAAAAAAATGAAATCAACAACTTGGACAATTCCTTGAAAGACATAAACTCCCAAAAACACATCCAATCCTTTTATCAGGCTATAAAAGGGAATATTCCATTTGTTTCATGAGGCCAATATTACCACTCATACAAATACCAGCAAAGATAATGCTAGAAGACTACAGACCAATATCCCTCCTGAACATAGATGAATAAATCCTGCAGAGTATTACCAAATCCAACCTAATTTTATAGCAACAAGAAATGTCTTACTGACCAAGTGGAACTTAGCATAGAAATGTGAGGCTAAGCCAACATCTTGGGGAGGAAAACCACTGTAATTCACAATATACAGACAAGACACAACAAATAATCACACAGCTATGAAAGGGCATCTGACAACATCCATTCATAATAGAATTCTAAACAAATCAGAATAAAAGGAGCAGTGTTAGAGTACTTGCCTAGCATGTACAAGCCCCAGGGTTTAATCCCCAGAGTTGGTGGGTAATGGCTTGAATGGATAAAAATCCATCTATAAACAATTTGTTTTTGCATTTAACATATTTAATGGTAAACGAATGGGTAGATCTCCTCTAAAGTTCAGGAACAAAAGCAAGATGTCCAACCTCTACCACTTGTATTTAACATCACACTACAAGGCCTAGCCAATATAATGAGATCAGAAAAGAAAAGGTACCCTTACTGAGAAAAAAAAATATTTTTATTAATTCCTCATAATTAGTTATTTTTTTTGCAAATAACTTTCAAAATACATCTTTCAAGAAGTGAGAAGAAGCCAGGTGCCAGAAGCGCTCACACCTGTAATTTAGCTACTCAGGAGGCTGAGATCTGAGGATCGCGGTTCAAAGCCAGCCTGGGCAGGAAAGTCCATGAAACTCTTATCTCCAATAAACCACCAGACAACCAGAAGTGGGGCTGTAGCTCAAGTGGTAGAGCCAAGGGAAGAGCTGAGAGCTGAAGACCCAAGGGACAGCGCTCAGGCCCAGAGTTCAAGGCCCACAACTGACAAAAAAAAAAAAAGTAAGATAAACAGCATACTAGAGGAAAACACTTGCCAAAGACATATTTGGTAAAGGACTATTGTCCAAAACATACAAAAACATTTGTAAAACAATTAAACAAACCAGCCGGGCACCGGTGGCTCACGCCTGTAATCCTAGCTACTCAACAGTCTGAGACCTGAGGATCTCAGTTCAAAGCCAGCCCAGGCAGGAAAGTCCATGAGACTCTTATCTCCAATAAACCACTAGAAAACCGGAAGTGGTGCTGTGGCTCAAGCGGTAGAGCTCTCGTCTTGAGCTGAAGAGCTCAAGGACAGCGCCCAAGCCCAGCATTCAAGCCCTACAACCAATAAAAAACAACAACAACAAAAAAACCCCAATTTTAAAATGAACCAAAGATCTCCATAGGCATCTCACCAATAACACACAGACAACAAATAGGCATATATGTTCCACATCATGTCACCAGGAAAATGTAAACTAAATTAACAACATGCACCTATCATAATAACCAAAATCCAGAATATTAACTACTAAATGCTAGCAACAATGTGGAGCACCAAGAATTCCCACACCATTGGTGATGGAAATGCAAACTGGTACTGTCAATTCAGAAGACAGACCTGGTAATCACTGCTTAATATTTTAGATCATTGAGATGAACTGAAAACTATCTACATTACAATTTGCACATGTATCTAGAGAACTTCATAAATAACTGCCAAAATGTGGAGGCAGAAAAGATGTTCAGTGGGTGAATGAATACACCGTAGCATTTCCACATAACAGATTATTCAGTATGAAAAAGAAATGAGCTATCAAGCCATGAAAAGATATGGAGGAACTTAAATATGTATGACTAAGTAAAAAGGCAGGCAATCTTAAAAGGCTATCTTCAGTGTGACCTAACTACACAACATTCTGTAAAGCGTAAAACTATGGAAACAGTAAAAGAATCAGTAGTTGCTGGGGGGGGAAGGGGGTTTGAGGATGAAAGAATGAATAGACAGAACACATGCCGTCATATATTTGTCAAAACCACAGAACACTAAGATTAAACCTTAAAAGTATGGACTTTGGACACAGTGATATGTCAATGCAAGTTCATCAGTTTAAAAAAATAATCACAGAATGAATCACAGGGGGCAGGGAGTGCAAGAGAAATGAGATAATTATGTACTTTCTTTTCAACTTTCCTGCTAACCTAAAACTGTCTAAAGAATTAAAACCTTATAAATTTATGCTAAAAATATTTATTTTGAGACCGTGAGCAATTTTATCCAAGGTAAGTGATAAAATTAAAACATTAAGTGGTAAGGCAAGATAATATACTGACAACAGTTTTAAAGAGAATTTTTATCTTTTGAAGCTGTATGCTCAAATTTAAGTGATAAACTAATAAGATACACGAGATGCTACAAAATAACAGGGCAAGGGGAGAATCCTTTAGGGAAAGTAATGCTAATCAAGACTCCCTGCAAAATTGTCAAAGCTGAATAAAGGATACATGGTGGATTAACATTATTATTAACTCTACTTTTTTTTTTGGTCGGTCGTAGGGCTTGAATGCTGTCCCTCAGCTCTTCAGCTCACGGCTAGCGCTCTACCACTTGAGCTACATAGCCACTTCAGGTTTTCTGGTGGTTTATTGGAGATAAGAGTTTCAGACTTTCCTGATCAGGCTGGGCTTTGAACTATGATCCTTAGATCTCAGCCTCCTGAGTAGCTAGGATTACAGGCGTGAGCCACTAGCACCCAGCTATTAACTTTACTTTTTAATTTTTGTTGTTGCTGTTGTTTTGGTTTTCTGGGGTATACCTCTGAGGGTAAATACGCCATGCATGCTACTTTCTATATTTGAAATTATCCATATTAAAAAATAAACACAAGCCGGATACTGGTGGCTCATGCCTGTATAATCCTGATCTGAAAATCATGGTTCAAAGCCAGCCCAGGCAGGGAAGTCTGAGACTCTTATCTCTAATAAACTACTCAGAAAAATCTGGAAGTGGCATGGCAGTTCAAGTGGTAGAATGCTAGCCTTGAGCAAAAGAAGCTCAGGGACAGCACCCAG